GAGCTTATAGGCACGTTTATAAGGTACCACAGAGGTATACAAAAACCAGCATGAAAACAAGAGCTGAATGCCATGTTGCACAATTGCCGCGCGCACAGCACCGCTTGCATAGTACCGCTTGCACAAGATCGCCACGTCATATCGAACTTCCTCCTTCGTCTCTTCTCTTTCTTCGATTTAACAGGCACACGTGTGTTACAGTCCCACCACTTAAGAGGTAGTCGCCACTCTTACAATGCACGGCGAATCGAGACGTTGCCAGAACGCAGGAATCACTGTGAAGATGTACCTTCCTCGCGGCATTTTTGCGTGCCTCAACTGCTTAACCCGCATGAAGAAGGAGGATGCAAGTCGAGCCGCGCGTGCTGTCACCACATCCCCAGTAGACGATCTGGGTTCACGAGCTGGTGTGGCGACCATACTCGGGGCCAACCCCGGGGGCGTACGCGCCACTCGTCGTTCCCGTAGTATCGCAGAGGGTGTTGGTGACGGCGATGTCGCTGCACGTGCAGAGCACGCGGTCGTTGCACGTGAAGAGCAAGAGGTCGCTGCACGTGCTGAGCTGCGCGAGCTACGAGAGTCCCTCGATCAGTGCTTACGGGAGCGAGACGACGACAGAGCCAAGGCCACAGCGTGTCTGGTCGCTGCTGTCAACGACGCGACTCCCGCCACCTTGCAACGGCGTGTGTATTAGCGGACGCATCCCGAAAGGACGCTGAGTCAGCACGTCTCGAGATCGTGCCTCGCTCGAGGACAATCTGGCCCAAGCCCACAGGCGCTACAAAGAGCTTGACAAACGCTTTGAGGATCTTGACAAAGCTCTCACTGCCGCGAGCAACCTCGACGACATCGCCATTTGTCCTTTCTCCACGAAGCCGTATTCGGCGATGGGAGAAGTTGCTGCGAGAAGGAAGCTCATTCTCACACTAAAGTCGCGTGTGTTGCGACTTAGAGAGGCAGCACCCTCCAAGGAGGAGACCAAGTTCTTAAAATATACCGCGTGTATCTCGCTACAGCTCCGAGCGTGGACATGGTGCGTCTCTGCCTGGCTGCAGTGTCCCTGAACCTCAAAGAAGGAATGTTCATTTTAGACCTTATCCACTCTCAATTCGTCTTCTTCGGCCGCAAGGGCATCTACAGCGGACTTGCTTGTCGCATGTTCACCCGCGTATTGTGCGGTGGAGTCAACTGATGTTCGCGCGAGGTGGTCGACCTCCTTACGGGCGCGGGGTTCTTGAACCACGACGGCCAGAAAAATAAAGTGGCAGAGTGGAAGGGGAACGTCATTCTCCCGTCCCTTCGGACTGTTCAGCGCCAAGTCGCCAGACTATTCCAACGTATACGTGCCGGAGTCTCATCCTCATGACCCAAGCCTTATCCTCACCAAAAACATCGACCCCGATCACGTCCTGAAGCGCTTTGCCTCGCACATCTCGACGGGCTTTGCAGGATCGTTCAACCCAAAGCTTTAGCGAGAAGGCGACAACCCTGTCCTCCCGGATTGGTGGTACTCGTCGAAGCGCGACCACCAGAACATCCCTGGCGCCCGCGTTTTCTGGTCCGAAAAGGTCGAAGCTCGCTTGGCCCCAACACATCCTCATGAAGCAAAATTGGTACGCATTTGGCGCAAC